ACCTAAAAAATTAATCTTTCTTTTTCCCAGCTCATCATTTGCCCTTTAATTTTTGTTAGTGGCATTTTTTATGTATATAAGTTATTAGATCAATCCATCAATAATAATGATAATATTTAATATTGATTGAATATATATTATGTCCTACATGCTGTTAAGTTTTCATATGCAGTCTGTCATTTAACTGTACCCATTTCATAGATCAGGAAGCTCAGATCTAGAGAGATTAGATAATTTGCCCAAAGACAAGTGGTACATCGTTGATTTTGAATCTAGGATCATCTTATTCCAAAGCAAGTTCTTTTAAGCTACTTTATTATACTGTTCAAAAATAAAATAGTAACTAATATATGTTTGATTACTTATGCCAGGTTATGAGTTAAGTACTTCAATTCCATTAACTTATTTTTTTTAACTTTCTCCACAACTCTGAATTAGGGCTCTATTTATAACCATATTTATTAAAAGCTAAATAAAGATGAGTTTCAATGAGGTTTAACTGCTAGTTCAAAATTCCTACAGTTACATAGTAGAAATAAAAATGTAAGCTCTGTGAGTGCAGGATTAGGTTAATAATACCTCCTGCCTGCCTTTCTACGTGAATATCAGGGTTAGATGAGATCGTGTGTATGAAAATACTATCTAAGTTGGATGCTCTAGGAATACGATGCATTGTTATTTTTAAAGTGGTATTATCCCTGGGTTTTCAGTTAAATCTTGGAAGTCTGTTCCCAAGAAGGAAACTTGTGTTTATGAAATTTTCAAACCTGGAGTGTTTCCTTTTCTCATAACTCTTAAGGAACTGAGGATTGCCCAGAGCTTTCTGTGTGTTAACTCAGCAAATTTTCCTACTTTATTGAGCAATCAATAAGATAATGTTGGAGGAAAATAATACAATTGGAAGACCATGTTTTAAAAACAGTTGATTAATTTGATATACATATGTATATATGCATTTGTATTCTTTTATATCTTATTAATCATTTAAGATTTAATTTTCAACTTACTCAAGTACTTATACATTTTTTGTTACAGTTCAATCATTTCTATCTGCCATATTAAAATATAGTATTTGGCCATCTTACTTTTTCCAAAAGGATCTGCTTTCATGTTTATAACTTAATTCTTAAAAATTCCTAACAACTTACTGTGATTTTTCTAGTATAAACATCAGTGTATTTGAAATTTGTGTGTGCATACATGTGTATGTTTAATTTTTCTGGAGAATATAATTTATCAGGTTCAAATTTCTAATTCTTAAAGATTTTTAGTAACTGAACTTTAGAAGTTCTTTAGTGTCAAATTAGAGACGTAAAAAGAACGTGCAATTGCTATATATTTACTTTGGTCATTGTGAGCAAACCTCATTTTTTATACAACTTTAATTTTATCATAATGTTTATCTTAGTTGCAAAAGTAAACACAGTGGTGGTTTTAAAGCAAGATAGGTTTTTATTAGCTTCACTCTGTGTTTACCTAACTGTTCAGGCTGCAGCTCTCACTTTCCTTGCTGCATGTTTTGATTAATGGCCCCCTGGACTTGTTCCAGAATATACTGATTATGGTCAGTGCACTTCAAAGATGATTTATTAATTGTGTTTGCATCAAAATAATTAAGTAAAGATTGATCATAGGTATTATTATAGGTTTGCCAATAAGATCAACAGTTATATATATGTATTTTTTTCAGCAGTTATATTTTAAGATAAAGTTTCCCTTAGTGGATTTTTTTTAACTGTACAGAAAGGACAAAATATTAATATTAAAAAATATGTATATTCATTATTAACCACAGCTTTGTGGCCTTTTAATTTAAAGCATGATGATTAAGTGTATCAGGGATTTAGTCTTATAAGTGCATGTATTTTAAGTTCTGTTTTAACATAATTTCAAAATAATATGTTTCAGTGGAGATTACATAGATGTTTAAATAAGTATTTCCTTGTTTATAACTTACCCTGGGAACAACCTTTCCTACAATTCCCTCAGGCTGTTACATGCACTTAGATTTCAAATAACTGACTTGAATTTCTGTTTAAAATAATTTTTAGTAGGAAGCTGTTATAATTTTCTGTGTTTTAGGTAAAGGGAATTTATCATATATTTCACATATATAATATTCCTATTCGAAAGACTTAACATCAAATTTCTCTAAATTTGGTATGATCATAGTTATTGCTTCAGGCGTTTGTTCAGTGCTCTATCAACAAAGAATAATGTGTAAATATTCATTATACTGGTCAGAGGAGTTATTAATCAAAAGAAATGACTCCTTGCTCATAATTTATAGTTCAGTATTGAAAGAAAAATAGGTACATTTATTTTTTAATTATTTGGTATGCTATATTCAAAATACACATTTTAACAGTGAAATTATATAACTTTAGTCATCTACTGTGATATATAACTAAATGTTAAATAGGTATTTTGTTTGTATTAAAACATCGTGAAATGAAGTAAAATGTTTTACCACAATGGAACTGAAGGTTGTTTCATGTTCTAAGCTTATGTGAAAGTACAAACTAGTTATGTCAAAACAAGAAGATATAAACCCTGTAAGTAACTAAGATGTTAGCAAATGGAGTAAAAAAAATAAAATATGAGAATAAAAAACAACAAACAAAAACCTAAATAAATTAAAAATATATAATAATCCATAAACATGATTCAGTGATTTTGTTTGTTTTTGGTAAATCATTACTAAAGGACAAAGAGCACAGAAATGCTTTATTTAAACATCGTTATTAAAAATATTTTCAGTAAAATTTGAGGACAAATACTTTGTTTAGTTAAAGATGTTTTACAATAATTTCATTTCTGAACAGTTTCTAAAAATAATTTCTCTAGATCAAACTTATGCATGTTATTTTTTAAAATATTATTTTTGTGATAAAGGAGGATAAATTATAAGTGTGTTGAATAAAGCAGTGTTATCGTCACCAGTATTATTGAGTTATTTATCCTGCATACACCACTTCTAGAAATTCAGAATAAAGAGGATGATGTAGGCTATGTCTTCAACAATCTTTGTATATGATATAAAATAATGAAGGAAGATTAATCACTAGAACACATTTATCTTTTTCTTTTGGCTTCTTTATATTTCCTGACAAACTGTCTTTAATATATATATGACTAAAATGTGCCAGATTCCATAGTAGGTATAAGAACCATGAAATTTCAGAGGAGGGAGAGTTAGTATTCTGTAAATCTGTAAAATAAGATGTGATAAAATCAGAGAAGACTGACTAGATGTTATTTAGTTTGACTTTGTATAGGAATGGATGTTTCTAGACACATAAACTGAAGAAGGATAATGCAGAGACTAATATTGAACCCAGAATCCTGAGGCCCCTTCTTTTTTTAGTAATAGAACCCCCTTCCAAAACCCGTGCATCCCCAAGTTTTAACAGATTGTGTGGTGCCAAACTAGAGGCTACATTTCTCAACTTCACTGGCAGCGAAGTACGGCCATGTGACAAAGTCCTTGGCAATGGGATGTGAGTGGAAATAATATGTATAATTTGGGGATCTTGCTCTTAAAATGAGTGGGTATACATTCCTCCATTTTCCCTTCTCAGTCCGTTTTCTACCTTGTGTGGAAGGAAGACATCTTAGGAGATGGCAGAGAAACAAGAAAGGAAGAATCATAGTCTCTGGACAGTCTTGTGGAGCAGGGCAACATATCCACTGGGGACTACCCAGCTACCTCTACAGTATTGTGAGAGGGAAAAATAAAAGTCTAGCTTGAATAAGCCATGTTGCTTTTTGGATCTCTTTGTTACAGAAACTTGAGATATTCCCTAACTAAAAAGAAGGACTTTCGTGTCAGACGAACAGAATACAATAAGTAAATGCATGGAGGAAGAGTCTGGAATATAGGGGACCATTGACCATATCACGAGGTGCATAGACATGTTGAATGAAGCTGGTAAAGTAGGTGGATCTCAGATCACAAAGGAACTTGAATGCTAAGCTGATTTATTTGGATTTCTTTTATGAATGCAACTAGAAACTGTTAAAGGTTTTGAGCCAAAGAATGGCATAATAAACAGTGCTTTAGGAAAATTTTCCTGGAAATTATATATTTGTTGGAGGGAATGTTTACAGATTGTCAGTGAAGATAGGAGGATATTGCAGTAGTCCAGGAAGAGTTAGTCTGAAGAAGGATAGTGATTATAAGTGTGAGTGTGATTGGAAAGGAAAGGAAGAGATGAATTGAGAAACACTTAAGATTGCTGTCTTACTGCCAAAGACCTTGGAAGCCTTATCAGTATTGAAAGCTATTTGTTAAACATGGTCTTTATCAAAATAAGTCCTCTGTCTTTAGAAATCAACCTACTACAAAAGCTGGATAAACAGAGCTTGGTGGTCATGGGCATTGACTTCTGAAAAGACTGGGAAAGTTTCCTTTCCAGTATATACTCAATTATCTAGGTATATAGTACCTTAATATTATATTATTTTACTTCTTTTCATTTATTTAAATTTTTAAACTTAATTTAGCATATAAGTAAGTATGTTAATCAGTAAGCTATCTTCAAATCATACTTTTAAGAAAGGTTGTCACTCTGGAAGGTGTATGTACTACAGCCTCTGAATACCTTTCTTGATGAAAGGGTTCTTGTTAGCTCCAATCACAGGAAATACTCCTTTTGGACATGTGTCATGTATTTTCATTTCAATCTGAAGTTATGGGTTTCTCTTGCTTCGAGATATATGAATTTCTTATGGACTACAGAAAAAAAAAACTTTTTTGCCTTACAATCTACTATGGATTTAGTGCTGATTTTATGGAGTGTTTTGCCTAGGGCCTAGATATATGACTTTCTAGAAATTTCCAGGCTGTAGGGGATAAGATAGGTGTTACATTCCTGAGTGAATCTGACAAACTAATGAAGTTAAGAGATAATGTTATAAAACTGAGCTGGCCTGTATATCCCTATTTCAAGGAAACCATGAAAATAATAATTATTTATTGAAGTTTATTTTTGGTTAAGCAATAAACGGTGCCATATAAGGCATAAAAACTGGGAAAGAGAACATTTCATTTGTTCTTAACTGTTATATGTTTAAGTAAGACAAATGAAGATCTCAGTATTCTTACTGAATAATAACATTGTATATTGTATTTTTATTTTGTGCACTTGTTTCAGGTAATTATTTTATTAGTATTAGACTGGAATTTATTGATTATCTAATAAAAATATGCAGCCACGTAAACGTCACATAAATGTTTTGTGGGACAAAAGGCTTACAGTGTAAATGGAAGGAAGCCCATTTCACCTAGTAATATCCATCAATTGGCCCTAGAGGTGCCTTTTGTATCATATCAGATAAATCGTCTACATTAAAGTCACTCATACAGAGTGGAGTGATGTTATAAGTGCATACAACTTATGCGTATTCAGCATACACTGTCCATCCTCTTCTTTGACCATAAAGAGGGTCTGGGGAGAAAGATACGAAAAAGGGCAATTTAAATAGTTCTGGACATTCTTTTCAGACATATTCCTGGGAGTGAATATCAAGTAGGAGACATATCTCCTTTCTCGCTGTCTGAGTTTCTATTATCTTTCCATAACGAACGGCACATTTAAAAAGAAACCTTTTTCATATAACATTGCCATTAAACAAAGGCAACTACTTTATATCTTCTACCACTGGATGGAAAACAAATAGCCATTTATCAAAATAGATGGAAAACTCTGTAATGCTGGGCTGATTGAAGTCGGTATATCATACTGGAGTAACAGTTTCCTAAGGATTTTTCAGGATACTGTGATTTTCACATTAAGTCCTACAGTTAGAACCCAACCCCTAAATAAAATAGAACCCCATTTAATATGGAAGCCATTGCATCGTCTTAAGTTTTTTCTTCTGTGAGGCAAAGCGCCTAAATGTATCAATATTCCCCAGGTAAAACATGCTTTTCGTGTGGTTAGTCTTTTGGTTGGAGTTGCCTTTCAGTGAATGCATATAGTTTGCTAGTGTTCCATTGAAGTCGTGTTCCCAGAGCCTGCTTATATCTCAGATGTGGTGTGATCTGTACAGAGAATAATGGGACACCATACTTCTGTTAATGTGGGATGTTCCCCAGCTGTTAACACTTTTCATTCCTAAGACATCACTAATTTTTTTTAAAAACCTACTTTAAAAAGATAAGTACAATGGTCCTGAGTTTCTCAAACTGCAGTCATGCCCAGGCTGTGTGATTTGGGTCAAGTTATCTACTCTGAGCCTCAATATTCTAACTTCTAAAATGGGAACAGTAATACCCACCTCATTAAAATTAATGAGATGATAAATAAAATGTGCCAAGCACATGATAAATGCTCAGCATTAGTTACTACTGCAGCTCTTGTTCGTTTTATTTTTCCCTTCCAATGTCTAGATGAGTTTAAAGGCAGATTGTCTTCCAAGTCAATTACTTACAAAAATTATACTATCAAAAGCATGTATATTTTATTATGTTTAATAACTTACAATCAAATGTTCATCATCTGAAATTCCTATGCTTTTGGCTTGAGAAAGTAGGTGAGTGGTACAGTTTTCAGACAAGGGATGGACTAAAAAAGAAGCAGGCTTGCAGAGCAGAAAATTGAGAAGTTTTGTTTTGACTAGGTTATATTTAAAATACTTAACAGACATCAAAGCAGATATTTTTTTTTTAACATATAATGTTTTATTTGTTTCAGAGGTACAGGTCTGGAAAAAAATATATAGTAGGAAGGGAAAAATGAAGGGGGGGAATCGGAGGGGGAGACGAACCATGAGAGACTGTGGACTCTGAGAAACAAACTGAGGATTCTAGAGGGGAGGGGGTTGGGGGGATAGGTTAGCCTGGTGATGGGTATTAAGGAGGGCATGTATTGCATGTAGCACTGGGTGTTATATGCAAACAATGAATCATGGAACACTACATCAAAAACTAATGATGTAATATATGGTGATTAACATAACATAATAAAATAAAATTTTTTTTAAAAAGCAAATATATCAAGATATATGAGTGTGGAGTTCCTGGGAGAAGCGAGGTCTAGAGATAAAGATTTGAGAGTCCTAAACATTTGGGATGTATAGTTATGATTTTGAAGTGAGAACAGTCAGCATAGGTGGGTGTTTCTCTTCAACAAGGCTTGAGTAGCTTTTAATGTGGCGCTTTAAACAATGATACGATAAAGATAAAGAAGATACTATTGTAGTGCTAGATTCTGTGCTTTATTCTTTAATAGATTATAACAGCTGTAGGAAAATGAGTTCAGTTCATTTCTAATTATCAGTCTTAGATTATATGTGGATTTAATAGCTAGGTGATTCCTTGCTGGGCTCTTAACTCAATTTTATTTTCTGTTCCTGACAACTTTAGTGTTAGATCAATTGGGTTTTAAATTTATATATAGTACTGGGGAGAAGTTCCAAAGTACACTTTAAATGGAACTATTCTCTTCCTGTATAATCATTGAATCAAAAGAATTTTTGGGGAGCCTTTTAAATCATAGATTCCAACTTTATAGTCCAGGCAAGTAGAAAAAAACAGATACATGAAACCATAATAGAGCAATTATTTGCGTGACTGTGATAGTCATTAGTTCTGTTCACCAAATATTTCCAGCTCTCTGCCTTCTGGGCATATGGTAAAATTGCACTTCAATAACTGTAGTTGAGTGAGGCCATGAGACTAGGTCTTACCAGAAAGTTTTGATTAAAAATGTCATGTGTAATTTCCGAGCCAGAGAACTTTCTTTCCTTCTGCCATAGTGATTGGCAGTGTTGGTAGCTGCCCTGTCATCCTAGGTCTTGGAATGAGGAAAGCAGAGTGGAGCCCCCAGGCCACTCCTGAAGGACTTATGAGAAATGTTGAATGAGACATGAATGCATGGATGAGAAATTAAAGCGTTGTTGTTTTTAAGTCACTGAGATGTTGGGGTACTTGCTACTACAATATAGGTTAGGTTTAACCTGAGTGATGGAACACAGAGACTTGTCCAAATATAGCATATTCTTAGCACCTTAAGCATTCTTCACAGTACTGTTTAAAAAATAAGGAACCACAGACAACATTGAATCCAGGTTCAGCCCCAGTGCCATAAAGTGAATATCTACACCTTTACTCTAAACAGAGGGTCAGAATAAACCACTACTTAGCTATGTTTTTACAAAGTTAAAAACATAGAACATATTTCCAAATGTTACAATTGGGAAGTTTCATTTTCTCTCAATACCAATGTCATTGTATAATATAGAAACTTTAGGGAAACTATAAATTCTTCAGTGATTTTACAAACAAATTAATATTTTTTGTAATAAAGAAAAATAGCATTTTCAGGTTTTTCTCAAGCAGGTAGGAGTCATCGATTTTATTATTCACAGAGCTATTCAACAAATGGTCTTTTATAAGCTCATCTTGTGCCAGTCAGACAAATGGAGTCCAGCTCCCACTTAGAAGGTTAAGAGAGAAAACACTCAGAGATTTGACATCACTTCACCCCACCTAATGACTTCACTTTCCGTTTGACTTTCTTTTTGTTATTTATTGAACTAAAAAATGTACTCTGCAAATTAAAGCTGTAGTCTTTGCTTCCACCAAGTATGCTGAGATTAACCACAATGCAGATGATCCAAAAATTCATAAATTGAGTAAGTTTTAGTCATAGAATTTTTAAGGTGGAAATAGAGTAAGATAGTCCTTTCTCTTCCTTTACCAAATAATGATATCTTTATCCATTGTTTAGTTGTAAACTGGCATAGAACTTTAGCCAAATGAAGCATGGTAGGAATTCATGGTCAGTGTCTATGCCCAGTGTCTTTCTTCTCATGATTTCTCTATATATTACCTTTCCTGGAGTTTATTTTAGTATAGTGTTTGCTTACACTACACGAATAGCATTTAAGGAAGAAATTCTGGTATTTCAAGCTATTGTTTGCAAGACATCTCCTCTGTACTTTATTAATGGCAAACTAAATAGTATTCCACTTAAAAAGAAATCTTACAATATTGGTAAAGGTATAGCAATATCAAGTAAGGAGGTAGGAGACCCGCATCCAAGTTTCAACTGTGTCATTTACTAAACTGTATGCATTGTTTAACATCTTTCAAATCTGTCTCCTTTCTATGACCCTGTCACTACTTTGGTTTAAGACCTTGTTACATAGCTCCCTTCCAGACTTCACAGAGCTGCCAGAGTGACCCTTCTAAGATGTTAATCGCTTCAAGTCTTTTAATGAGTCCCTACAGTTTTCAGGATATGGTCCAAACCCTTCAGCGTGGTACACAGAGCTTTTCATGAGCTGCCCCTTGCCTAACTCTGGTCCTGAGGTTGTAAACTGGTGGGCTATTAGCAGAATTCAGCTCATATATGTGTTTGGTCTGGTTTGCACCATGTTTTCTTAAAAATTTGGTATAAATGTTAGTTTAAAAACTGAGAGATTTCTGGCTTCTCTTGAAATTCGAAGACTATCCTCTCACATGTTGGCAATTGGCTATTCTGACTATTCTCTTTAGAGAGGACATTCACTCTTTAATTTACCACAGTCCTCACCCATTGACATTTCACCCCTTTATGTAACTGGTGGGCATTTGAGTTTGCATCTCCCTCTGGCCTTTGCTGCAGTCAGTCTTTAATGTTCATTGTTTATAGCTTTGAATTATAGACCAAGTTCTTTCAAAGTTTTATGCTTACTCTTGCCTGGAGTGTCCTCCTGTCCTTCTGTTTATTTATCTCACTGACCCATTCACTTCCTTCAAAGTACACTATAGTTGTTGTGCTCTTCAGAAAACTTACCCAACCTACCCTTCTGATGTACCCACACCACCTTACTCTATCACATTGTATAGTATTTGATTTTTTTGTCTGAATCCCTCATGATGTAGTAAAGTCCTTGGGAGCATAGACAAGTGTCTAATTTGTTTTTATGTCCCAGTTTGGGCTCAAAAGAGCCACTGTCGGCCTCAGTGTCATCATTTATAAATGATGAGCATGTGATCATAAAGGAGATCGTATGACCT